GTGTTCATTGCTGGCACGTATATGTGACAGTCGGCGCGAAGGGGTTAAAAAAAATCCCAGAATTGCACAAAAATGGCATTGCGCACTCCCTTGACTTTATCCATGTACACATCGACCTATTTTCACTTAACCTTTTGCGGTCGTATGTCCACTCTCAGCCACCAAAGCCTTTTTACTGTTCTGGTCGTATGTCTGCTCTCAGCCACCACAGCAAGGATCTATACGAATTGTATACTGTATGCATTCATGTATCAGTTTGTACTTTTCCTATACGAACCTCAATGCATAAAGAACTATTCACGAACCAATACAGTGCTCCATCGATTGGAGATAACGTAATCAAATCTAAACAAAAGTTGTGACCCAGCGCTCGCCATGCAGGACGCAGTGGTGAGTCAATCGTCTTTTGAACGTAATGAAATCGACAATACCTTGTAGAATTCCAAAGAATATTTTATAAATTTAACAGTAATGAGACATTTTCTCTTTTTAAAATATTCCAGATTAGAGGTTTTTACAATAAATAATTACATTTTATATAAGGTATCAGCTAGAAGAGAGAACAGGACACCTATTCCACATTTTATGTTCGTCCAAAAATTGGTGGCACAACTGGTAGGTGATTTTCGTGACGGAGCAGATTCAAAACCAGGAAGACCATCGACCTCTGATAAGGAAGAGAGACTTGATGGAAAATTGCATATTTTGCAGCATTGTGAAAATGTAAAAAGTAAAGATTGTAGTGTATGTTCAAATAGAAAGATTAAGGATGGAAGGCACCAAACCAGTTATTTTTGCGATATATGCACTCGAAAACCTGGCCTGCATGTTGGAGAGCGTTTTGAAAAATATCACACGAAGGAGAATTATAAAACATAATTTTTATACAAAAACATATCACTAGATGAGTGTATTGAATAAAGATATATCTAAAGTTCACAAAAGAATACTAAATCTTGTTTATCGATCGTAAACTTGCGTGTTATGTATCCCTGCTCTATCGACAAAAATTAATTCCAACCAGTACGATACCCATCTCCAAATTTAATCCGATTGCAAAGGGTTAAAAAAAATTGGAGAATGAAATACATTCCGGTGACGTCGGAGGTCACATGATGTAAGAACTGCTAATGTAAACAAACAAGCTTTTGCTATGTTAGATGAAATGAAATTTCGGAAACTTTTTTTTATTTTTAATTAGTTATGAAATTTGCATTTCATATTTAATTATTATTTCATTCATTAATTAACTGTTCATTCATTTGGTTAGTATAATTTTGATAACTCTCGTATGTTACTGTTATCTTCATGATACTCTTTTGTTCGCTACTTTACCATGTTTTAATTGTTAATATTTATTTATGAATTCTTTTCCTTGATTTGATAATTAATTCATTTATAAAAAATGTAAAAATGAATACATAAAATCATGACTAGAAGAGAAACACGCTAATGTGACAATCAAAATCGTAAAAAACAACCTTATATTTAGCGTAGGTATAATGAAACACTCAATCGATTTCGAGGGCAGCTAAAGGCCCCTCCTCATCAGGAGAAAGAAATACATAGAAAGAAGAAAATAGGAATCACAGAAACACGTGGTGCTTATCAGCACTGCACGTGGTTATAACAATATAACAATATATTGTTAATGCTTTTCTAACAATAACCTTTCAGAGGATGGCTGGTGTGACATAAATAGATGATTAAATTGAAAATAAAAAATATTATTGATTATCTAAGATGACAGAATAGTTTGATGCATCACCATGGTCATCAAAATTAGCAAACACTGTTGGTGTAAGGAATATATTGTTTTTTGTATTAACTGGAATTTAAAACAAATTTTTTCGTTTATCACGTTTAACCGGTTAATTTCAGTACATTAATACTAATTTATATTTTTCAAATGAATTTTTATTTCCGTTATATTCTTTTCTGTGCTAACTTGAATTTAATACAAATTTATTTAGTATATCACGTTTAACCAGTTAGTTTTACATCTACATGCTTATTATCTGTGAATTTTTACTACCATATGCTTAATATATTGTTTTGTCTGCTAACTTGAATTTAACATGCACTAAAAATCACGTTTACAAAATATCACGTTTGCGGCTCGGCTCATCGCCGATGAAACGCGAGCTTGGCGAGTAAAAATGCAACGGCGCCAACTGGTTCTTTCCCGAAGCGCCAACGGATGCCGATGAAAAACGCCAACGTCTGCGGATGAAAACCCGACCCTTCTTTATGACATCAAAGAAAGAGAAATCATTTCCAAGTATATTTTTTAATTTCTCGCAATAGCCATAAAATTCTAAATTCGAAAAGTAAATTAATTTCAGCGGAATATCTGCTATCGACTCCATTGTAAACATAGCACATGCAGATGTTGTTGTTTGTAAACCACATTTTCCCTCTTCTTCTCTTGCGGAATGTATCTCATTGCACAAACTAGGCTTTGCGCACTCCCTTGAGTTTGTCCATGTACACATCAATATATTTTTACTTAAAAAGTCAAAGGAGCACCCAATTCTGCAGTAGAGGCAAACAAAAAGTACATAATCTCAATAAACTACATTTTAAACCAAACAATTTTAATTTAAACAATTTTAAAACAAACAACTTTCGTTCCAAACCATACAGAAACTTCATACTACATTCAACCATGTTACCATCTAAACATTGAAATAAGCAATGTATTTCCTAACCAAACACACCACAAAAGCCCTTACCTTTCGTTCCAAACCATACAGAAACTTCATACTACATTCAGCCATGTTACCATCTAAATAATGAAATAAGCAATGTATTTCCTAACCAAACACACCACAAAAGCCCTTACAAAACACCCCATGATTCAAAATTTCACGGAATATTGCAAACGATTACGTCATAATAGGGTTTCCGTAACATTCAACTACTCAGGTTACCATAAATGAAACAATAACTTGGCGATAAATGAAGCAACAACTTCGCGATAATACAAGGGGTACCCTAAACTCATCTCTAACCTTTTATCATTAATACAGTCAAAAGTCGTTAATCCGGACTCGTCGGGACTTCGGCGATTCCGGATTATCGATTTTTCCGGATTATAGATCATCAGTTTAAATCTGGTAAGATGGCATGCAGAAATTACAAAATTAAAAATATGAAACCGTAATTTATGAAATAAAGAACAATTATGATCTAAAGGGTATCAAAATTTACAAAAAGAAAAAGCTTGATATTTATTTGTTTACTTTATTAAACATTTCCTTCAATGTAAGTTGCTTCGTTTCATGTGATAATACTTTCTCTTTAATTCTATTAAACAGACATAATTTCTTGTTTAGTTACAAAGTTCCGCTGTTCAAGTCCTATAATTGTTGTGTTGAGAATACCGACTAATTTGTCAATCGAAATGTTTTCGTTTTCAATAATCTCTGGGTCACTTTCTTCACTATCGGAAGCGAATTATAATGACGAGGAACTTGATTTAAATCATATCAAAGACGGAGTACATCGAGATGAAATACTACACTTACGGAATTATAAACCAAATAAAATAAAAACATCTGCCCTGAAGATAAGGATAGTGCTGACAGATCAACTTCCAATCCGCGGCGTGAAATTGATAAACAGATTTCGGATTTCAAAACATACTTTCGCTTTGTAGATACAAATTACAGGTTTAATCCTAGTATCCGGTGCACACGGGATTTGGCTACTTTTGGCTACTTTTGAGCAGTAGGAACGCGACATATACGATGAGTAGTAAACAGGTCATTCAAAGAATATATATGGTTATACATAATATATACTATATATACACACAGTATATATACTATGTATATACACACATAGTATATAGTGTATAGTATATATATAGACGTTCTTTGGATCATTTTTGGTGTTGGCGATAATTTTCAAAATCGCGCCAAGGCTGCACCGTATACTAGGATTTTACCGAAATTATGTATTAGTAAATATATATCGGAAATTCTATTTGATATAATCTTTCTAATCTATCATAATCTAATAATGACGTTTCTGCCCCCCCCCCTCTGCCGCAGAGCAGCGGAAATTGATAAACAGATTTCGGATTTCAAAACATACTTTCGCTTTGTAGTAAATATATATCGGAAATTCTATTTGACATAATCGAAAGTTCAAGCTTACTTTTATAAAATTGCTCTAACAGTCTGCAAAAAATAATAAGCCGGATCCAGTTCGAAGATTAAGGAACAACGCAATCTGCAACATTAACTGAATTAGATAATTTTAGCTTAGCGTATATCTCCGTTACACATTAAACGCGCATGCGCACAAACATATTCGCAGCCGTAAGAGTCTTACGCGCTCTCGTAAACGCCTGTGCGCATGCGTGAACGCGACGCATGCGCAGAAAGTTTGTAGCTTTGAGGTCCGGATTATAGATCATTCCGGATTATGGGTGTCCGATAATATGCTATGCTTGCTATACGCATGATGACTTGAATAGAAATAATAAGCAAAATTCATTTTCTTTTTAAGTTTTGTAATTGATATCAGTTAAAAAAGCTGAATGTACAGCATATTAAGTTTTTAAAAATTTAAAAATTTCTTATTTTTAATAAAATAAAAAAACCTTGTTTATTATTATGCATTTATAGTTTATTTAATATTTTAAACAGAGGCTTGCTTATTATTATGCATTTATGTTTTATTTCATATTTTAAACAGAAGGTTTGTATATCATATAATGTATTGAAAACTTTCAATGCAAAACAGAGAAAATTAAATTTCTTCATCATGTAAGCCACATATTTTAAATTAATTTATTCTTTTATATTTTATCTAATATTTAAAAAAAAAAAAAAAAAAAAAAAAAAAAAAAAAAAAAAAACGAATGCCCTGTTATCAATAGAAGAAATATTTCTTCGAGTTTGAATGTTACCATAATGTTCAGCTGCATACAGTTTACAGTATACTCTTACTGTGCTATTTAATTGTGAAAATTATTATTTTCTTTTCAGGTTTAAGAGGTGCCATTTCATATGCCTTAGCTTTACATTTAGAATTTGAGGATGAGAAAAGACATGTTATTGTTACCACAACCTTGATCATTGTTTTATTCACAACACTGATACTAGGAGGATCAACAATGCCTTTAATGAAAGTATGTAATCCCTTAAGAAACTTTTTACATTATTTATGAAATTTGTTTTAGTTGAAAATTCAAATTATTTATTTGTTATATAATACACCCAAGTTTTTATTTTATTTCATATTTCTTTTTGTTACAATATATGCACTTTTTAGCAGAGTGAATAATCATTTTTGTCTAGATATAAGATAGCATCATGCATAAGATTATCCTGGTATATAATAATGTTTCAAAATAAAATACAGTAGTTGAGAATATCATTAGATCAGTTGAAGTGCTTATTTCATATAGTTATTTATTATAATGGGCACATAGTATAATTTTGTTCATGACACAGTATAATTATAATAAACTATTTTTGAAAGGCAGCATGTATCGTGGCCAAAATCAAAGTACGATAAAATCAAAAACATGTTGCAAATGCTGAGCAACAAACAGAGGTAATTTAATTATTCAAGCTTGAAAGTAAACTCCTAGATTTAACCAAATATATATATATATATATAACTCTCTTTCTTCATTATGAAGAAGTTGGACTGGTCAGAGGGAGTTTTCTCTTCTCCCTCTAAGTTTTGAAGTTAGAGTCTATTGCTGTTGGTGGTAAAATGAAAAAAGACAACTGACTATGCAATGACTACTAAATGTCATAAGGATATGTGATCATCCCCAAGCTACACTGCTGGCCATTAAAATTGCAACCAGGAAAGAATGATCTGACAAATGTGAAAATCACACGAAAGGAAGAAGTTGGGATATGCAAATGATTAGTATTTCTGTGCATTTCGACGACACAGGGGGAGAAATGACATCTGAAACACTGCATAAAAGAAAAGCTGTGTAATGGATTTCTTATTCGGAAAGTGCTTTGTAAGATTGGAGTTTGCTCAGGATATCATGTTATGCCTTGAATAAGAAAAGGTAATGTTTATCAAGTTTCAAAATTCGATAGAGGCAGGATCGTTGCCTATCAAAAGTGTAGATCTGTGATATTGCCAGTCACACTGTTTGACACCCTTAATGCTATGTTTGCTTAATACTATGTTTTAAATGTACAACGTGCTTGAAAATGTAAAACGTACAATTACTAATAGTAATATCACTTTTCGATGTAAGATATCTTTATATTGCCATATATTATGTATAATAAGCATTGGTATTGCAAGAATCCATAACATCTGTCTTCCACCATCTGCACCTGTTTGGCAATGTTGTTTTACTGGACAGTTGCGGGATCCGGACAATACCCAAATAGTTAATGAAAGCTGTTCAGGTGTCCGAACCCTGCTCTCATCTGTTACCTATGATTAGAGGAAATTTTCTTCCATGTTACAAAAGTGGTGCTCAACATGGAGCCATTTATACTATTGCATTCCTTGATGGTGTCTGAGTTCTTTTCAGATTTTGTGTCAAAAACTTGCTGAATTGTATACTAAATGTGAAGATTCCAAACTTTGGTTTATGTAGCACACCTCTGTTCAACAAATAATTTGTTGAGTCATCATTATGGGAGAAAGTACTGCTCCATATTACAAAGGTAATTAAATGGTCTAAATAATATAGTGTTCTATGCTGTGAGTTTATAAGATCTTAATAACTGTACGGTAAAGTACGGTAAAGAGTAAAGTACGGTAAAGAGTTATAAATAGCTCAAGGAGAAAAACATAAGTAAACATAAGTCATCCTTAACATATGAAGAACATTGCAGTTCACCAGAATCACTTGTATTATTAGCTATGTCTAAAGAAAGCAGCATTCAGTGTGCAGAAGTTCAGTATAATTTCACTACGGTGAATTGAACTATTCAACTAAATGGACTAACTGATCCGTGACTCCAGTGTAGCCAATATATATACACTATATATATATATACAGGGTGTTTCAGCACAGCAATTGCAAACCTTCAGGAGAGAGAAAGTATATGTAGATCGTGGAAAACATGTAGTAATGCATGGTCGGAAACGCTTTCTCCTTGACATGGTAGTGACGACACAAAACACAAGAAAGGGAGGACATGAACAGGGCAAGAAAACATATTTATTATGCTTAGTGCAGCTAAAATGTTGGGAATGCTAAATTTTAGCATACATTAACAATCGTGAATATGTATGCAACATATACTCAACATTGGATTGGCAGGGGTGGTCTGGTGCATTGGCCAGCAAGATCTCCAGGCCTCATCTGCATTAACTACTTCCTCTTTAGGATGTGTCAAGACACTCATGTACGAAAACCCATTAATAGTATTGAGGAACTTGTTGCAACGCATTGTGGAAGCTGCTGGGGGAAGTCTGAGACACACCTGATGTTTTCTAGAACATCAGATCTTCCATGCACTGGAGATGTGAATTTTGCATCACAGTTTGAGTTCGTAATTTCAGACACCTTCTTTGAGGATGATTGTTGTTTGTTCTTATTTCTTGTTTTCTGTTGTACTAAGCATAATGTTTTCTCACCCTGTTCTGTCTTTTCTTTCTTCTGTTTTGTGTTGTCGCTACCATGGCAAGAAAGCATTTCTGATCATGTTTTGCTGTGTGATTTTTCTTTCATATAGGTATACAGTCAAAAGTGGTTAATCCGGACTCGTAGGGATGAGATTCCGGATTATTCCGGATTATATATCATCAGTTTAAATCTGGTAAGATGGCATGCAGAAATTATAAAATTAAAAATATGAAACTGTAATTTATGAAATAAAGAACAATTATGATCTAAAGGGCATCAAAATTTACAAAAAGAAAAAGTTTAATATTTATTTGTTTACTTTATTAAACATTTCTTTCAATGTAAGTTGTTTAAGTTGCTTCGTTTCATGTGATAATGCTTTCTCTTTAATTCTATTAAACAGACATAATTTCTTGTTTAGTTACAAAGTTCCGCTGTTCAAGTCCTATAATTGCTGTGTCGAGAATACCGACTAATTTGTCAATCGAAATTTTTTCGTTTTCAATAACCTTTGTGTCACTTCTTCACTATCGGAAGCGAATTATAATGACGAGGAACTTGATTTAAATCATATCAAAGACGGAGTACATCGAGATGAAATACTACATTTAGTAAGGAATTATAAGCCAAATAAAATAAAAACATCTGCCCTGAAGATAAGGATAGTGCTGACAGGTCAACTTCCAATTCATTGCGTGCAGCATCGTTTCCCTCCCCCTGCAGAGCAGCGTGAAATTGATAAACATATTTCGGAATGATTAGATAATCAAAGGATATGCCTATATCCATTTTTTGCAGCAATTCCACTTTCTGTTTAATGGACTTTGAAACATACTTTCACTTTGTAGATCCTTTACATATTAGTAAATATATATTGGAAATTCTATTTGACATAATTGAAAGTTCATGCTTACTTTTATAAAATTGTTCTAACAGTCTGCAAAAAATAATAAGCCGGTTCCAATTCGAAGATTAAGGAACAATGCAATCTGCTACATTAACTGAATTAGATAATTTTAGCTTAGCTTATACCGTCCATTATACATTAAACGTGCATGCATAAACGTATTATGTGCATGCACACACACATATTTGCAGCCGTAAAGGTCTGCACGCGCACACGTAAGCGCTAACGCAACGCATGCGCAGAAAGTTTGTAGCTTTGAGGTCCGGATTATGGGTGTCCAAATTAACGACTTTTGACTGTACTTTAACTCTCCTGAAAGTTTGTAAATGCTTGTGCTGAAATACCCTGTGTATAAACATCATATAATGCATGAAATTAATGCTTGCAAATATATTAAGTGGCTGCACTTGATTAATGCAGTATAATTATTAAATAAAAATATACTAAAGAAATAAATTATTGAATAAAAACAATATTTCATACTGTAAAAATATATAAATGTCAAGATGCAAATCAAACATGTGAAATATTTACATAAATTTGTGATACTACTTTGAGGTAAAACGTAAGTAAATGTGCTTTCTTTTAAATAAATGAAAATTTTTGCAAATTAGAGTGTAAATGATGAATTGTGGTAGTGAATGAATTTTTTAAATTTTGGACTGCATATATTAGATGAATTTACTTTATGCAGAACAATATTTTAAGTAATAAACATTTTCTTATGTTTGCACCATTTCTCCATTTCTACCAGATAAAAAGTATCAGAAAATCTAAAATTAGTTTACTTAAATTTTGAATTGGAGGACTGAAGTTATTTTTCTCATTTTAAGATTAGAATTTTATGAGGAGCACACACTTTTTTTTTATGTTCATCCCATTTATAGTAGCAGAATTATAAATAACATGTTTTATTTTTTTGTTGCAGTAATAAAACTCTCTTATTATAGTTTCTTAAAGCAGGAAAAAAGCCAAGGAGAAAAAGAAAAGGACAAGACACTGAAATATCTCTAAGTAAAACAAAAGAAATGGTTAGTATTTGAAAATTTAAGTAGTTCTAAATATTGCTGTGAAAACTAATCTAATAAAATGAGCTATATGAATTGTTTAGTTCCACATAGCATGTAAGAATTATGTTATATGAATTGTTTGTATATACTTGTGTAGTCAATACAGCAATAAGGTTTTCACTTTCTAACAAATTCTTGATCACTAGCATATAACTTTTAATTTCTCTGACAATTTTACATTCATGGCTAGACTAAGTTTCTGATGCCTTGGTCTACAAAGCCCAAGCTTAGGTTTCCAGATTTTAGTTGGCCTCAGAATACCAATATTATGCCTTATAAACCTGTTTTTCAATCTTCAAAGCAAGAAAAATATTAGGTTGTAATATAATTCGTCCCTTAAAATTATTTATTTTTTATCTCAGAAATAACTAATTATGTATATATGTACCATTTTGATCAATAAACTTCTTTCTTGGAATTTGAAGATTACTCTGTAATAAAGTTCTGGGGACGTCTTAGCAATGACTTTTTATTCGATTGTGCTGTCAGGAGCTCAAATGTGAAAAATTTACTCCAGTAGGGCGATATACTACCTCTAAGTATTTGCCTCGAACTCAGTCTCATCTTCTAACTGCATTATCTGACAACTTAGTCTCTCATCTGGGTTTTTGTGTATAATTTTTGTATTATTATTTATGGCAGTTTTTTTATTTATAGTTAATTGTGATTTCTTCTGATGAGACAGTTCTTTTCCATTATTAACCATCAACATCATCTTCAATGAATTCCTCTGGATAGATTTGTGTTTACTTTTCATAAATTTTTTGTGGAAATTTATGAACTTAATGAAATTTGACCTTGTAAGCCTTTTTATTCTTCCTTTTCGTTTTTTTTTAAGGTATTATAATTATGTAAATACCTTAAAATATTTTAAACCCTTTATAAAAATATGTATTATTTATAACTAATACTGAAAATACTATTTTACCTTATCAAGCACCAGTTCCAAGCATATTTAAGTTTATTAAGCAGTTAAGTTCAATAGATTACAATTTGTGTACTGCAGATTGTGATAAACATTTTAAACTTTTATAGTAAAATAATAACTAACAATTTAAATCCATTAATTAATCCTAAAATAATAATTAAAAATTGATGCTAAAATGAAACTGTTATGTACTTTTAAAATTTATATTTTTATAAAAATATTTTTAAAACTATGTGTTTGGAAAAATTTTAAATTTTATTATTTTTCTAGCCGTGTTTGTTTTGTATTGTTCATTAAAAGTTTTTCAGTTGTACTCTCAGTTTTGTGAAATTGTTGGTAGCTTTTTTGATCAGTGTGTTTCAATTCAAGATTTTTTCTTAGAATTTGTGGTACTTTGCTAAATTTGATTGTTTGCTGGCACATCATCATTTTCTTCTGTATCACTTTAACTGTCAGTTTACATAAAAGCACATATTTGTAAACACTTTTTAAGTGTGGTTTGAAAGATTGACAATGTGTTATGACTGTAATATGCTTGGCCTGTAAGAGATACTGATTTTGTTATATCTTTTGAAATGCTTACATTTTCAGAAGACTGAATTATGAATTATGTTATCATTGAATTGTTTTCTGTAATGAGATTTGAAAGATTTTATAATACCTTGAATAAAATCTTTCAAATCTCATTACCTAAAGGCTGAATGTTAGAATTGTATTTTCAGGCAAAAACACAGATATTTTTCAGATATAGATAAGAGGTGTGTGTGCTGGATAATTTATCTAGTCAGTAAAATCATTTTTTCTTTATTCATTTTGGTGTCCCATTAAAGAAAAAGGGGGTGGAAGTAAAAATACTACTTATCAATCAGTTTTTGTTGCCATGGTAACTAGAGGTAAATTCTAAACTAGAAATTGTCATGGAAACTAGAAACTGCTGTGGTAAATTAGAGGTCTATTAAACATTAAGGTTTTCTGCTTCTATTAATTACCAGTGTTGTCTTCTTAATTGTTGGGTCCATATTGCATGTCAATAACACTAACTCTTTCCTTCAGTTTCTTAAACCATCTGCTTGTTTACTTTTAAACATTAATGTTCTGTCAATGTTATAACATTAATGTTTTATAACACAACTCAGTTGTATTATAAATTTCTTGTGGCTTGTATTCATTTTACTATCCATGCAAAATGCCATTTATCTAGTTATCAGCCATATATGCCTCTTCCTTCTCACCATACGTTTTCTGATGAACAATGTTATTTTTCTCTTTCTAATTTGTGAGCCATCCATCAATTGTACATCATCCTAGCATAAGTAGAATTTCACAGCTTTTATAATGAAAATATATCTAGAAATAAAAACTTTTTTGGAATGGTTTCATGCATGAAACCATTCCAAGAAATATAGTGTTTATAATATCTTTTGATTTTTTATCTTTTTTGAGACAACTACAATTTTTATTAGTTTTTTATCAATTATAATTCTTCGTTGGTTTTTCATCAAAACATAATTATTTCTTTGCATAAATTGCATAATGCTGTTTGGGAAATTCTGATTTTAACTGCACTTACCAAGAAAAATCAAGATTTTTTAACAGTTCATCCTTTAATTCAGCCTTAAATCTTTTTACTTAAGCATTTTAAAATGTTACAAGTTAAGACCATAACAAATTAAAAAAATGCTTCTTCCTGAGATTTATTCAGTTTTATACCTCAGTTTCTATCCAGCGGAATATTTGAACTTTGTCATTTAAGGTTGATCTCCCACTTTTAGGATTACAGAAATATCAGTGTTTTCTTTGCTTTCTTTTAAAACCTACAATTACTACTCCCATTCCTCTCAAAAATTGTTAAGGTAAAATATTGCTAGGAAGCATTTCATGAACTTTCTTGAGAACTCTTTGTTAAAATGTGTGTATCGCAAAAAGAAGATTTTAAGCATGGAACATCAAAAGATGAGATACAAAAGTATAACTTTCACCTCCTGTTAGCTGGTATCTGAGTTTTATAAATGGCACACCTGAGTTTAATTAGTGGTATTTTTCCTATTGATTAGTATAAAATTTGTTTTATTCCTGGAAGTTTGAACATATTGAGCAGCTGATTTTATTAACCAGTGAGTTGTGGCAGGTGCTGCATATTGAATTACTGTAATATTCTTAAAAAAAGAGAAATTCAAGAGATTATTTAATTTTATTTGTTGTTACAATTTTCATATCTTTTTAACCTTTCAGTCAACCTATGGTTTGTCTTTGAAAAGCTCAAGTTTCCAAAATGCTGTAAAAAGATATTTTCATGGCTGTAATTCCAAAATGCCAGTAGTATTTTATACAGGGACTCCTATCTCTTCTATTAAACATCCTAAATCGTTTGGACACATTTTAAGATGCACATTGACATTAAGATGCATTTGAAGTGCACATGTATCTTAAAAAAATGCATATACACTTCTAAATAATCTAATAATATAAATATTCTAGTACATTCATATGTTGCCTGGCCAGATAACAAGTTAAGAATAACATTAAATGCAACATTTACTATAACATTCTGTAGTAGAGGGCATCACTATTATTTTCAGTACAGTATAGAAATACTAGCCAATTGTACAACCAGTCATTAAAAATATGCAATAGTTAATAAAGAAAAAATATATAATGAGTTTAATGTGTCCATCTAGTGTAATTTCATGGGTTCAGGTAGTAATTAATAGTAACAAAGAACTGCATTTATTGCTTTTAAATCACTTAGTTTGTTAATCAGTAACACAGAGAATGTTTGAAATATTTGTTGTTCTATCTGTTATTGAAACACTTGTACATTTGTTAACAATAACAGATAGAATATTTGTTAAATTAAAAAAAATAAATATTTTATGCTTAACTAAGCAACAGCACAGCGGCAAATGGAAGATAAAAATATATTATTTTGGGCAGTGGCAACACATTTCTTTAAAACACCTAACTTGTTGTTTAAATTTAAAAGACAAATATCATATGCCATGCCAAGCGACAATACATTTCTTTTCAATTGCAAAGTTTCTAATCAAATTTCAAACATCATTACCTTATGTTTTGTACAGTGGCAAGAGGTAGCTTTTTAATCGGCATATTTTTAATTAAAAATTCATTAAAGTCACACAAAATATGAAATACATCAAAAAAATTTTGAAATTCAAAATTCTGGCTTTGAGATGTATAGGTTTGTGTGGAGGACTACTTGTATTCAAAATTTGTTGCCACTATTTTTCTGCAGTGTGAGGAACATACATGCATACAAGAACTGTTTAAAAAAAGGGGGGACCAAGATTTTGCTATTCTTACATTGTTACTAATTTTATAAACTTTCAACCAGTATCCCTTTCAAAGTGCTTCCTTGCAGTGTCAATATGCCATTTCCATAATTTCTTCCACTTTTGGAATGCCTGCTGGAAATAATTTCTTCAATGGCATGCAGTACTCATGTGACATTTTTAAAAATTTTCTCTGTAGACTGAAAATGATGACCTTTCAGAGGGGTTTTAATTTTGGGAAAGAGAAGTAAATCTGCTGGGACTTGAGTCCGGAGAATAAGATGAGTGGTGTACAACAGAAGTTCAGTGTTTAATCAGATAACTGTCAACAAGGAGCTGTGCATGAGTTGGAGCACTGTCATGATGTAACATCAACAACTGATTTCCTTCACAGTTCAGGTCTCTTCCTTCACACAGCATCTATCAATTGTGTTAGAATTCTCTAGTAGATAGATCTCCTTGTACTGTCTTAGCTCATGGTACAAATTCATAGTGTACACTGAACATGTTGGTGTTGTGATCCAAATTCTGGATCTTTGGTAACCAAATCTTTTGCCTTTTTTAAAATATTGAAACCAGTCATAAGACTGTATTCAGCTCATGTAGCTACCTTTGTGTGTTTGGTTAAGCATTTGGAATGTTTCCATGAAACGTTTTCTTGCTTTTATGCACCTTCAATTTCATTTTTGTTTTTTTCCCTAGTCCAACGAGCAGCTTATGCATGATCTCACTCATATGGTAATTAGTCAACAGCAAAGGCTTAAATTGAAGCCCAGTAAAAGGCAACATGTTATCAAGTATGCCACTGGATGTGCATAGTGGCCACAGCATGCCATCTGCAGTTATTGGCATAAAATTCAAAACTTCGGTGCACTTTTTTAACAGTCCTCATATATACAGATGGACAGATTTTTCATTATTTAATATTAGTTATAAAAAGAAAAAATATACAATGATTTTAATGCTTAGTATATAAGTTAATTAAATTAAATTGCTTAGTATATAAATTAATAATAGAACAAATTTGAAAAAAAAAAAAAAAAAAAAAATAAAGATCTCCTGCTTCCAAATGGTAAGAAACTGGTGCATGAAAAATAAAAATATTTTATATTGGACAGTAATGACACATTTCTTTTCACTTTTTGAGTTTTCTGATTAAATTTGAAACGTAAATATGTTTTGCTGAGTTGCAACACAAAGCTTTTACATCACAATTTTTAGTTAAAAATTTTCTGAAATTCGCACAAAATATGAAATAAAGAAATAATGATAAAATAGAATAAAATTTGAAATTTAGCCTTTGAAGTGCCCTTGTTCTGATGTTCAAAATTTGGTGGCTTTTGCAAAAAACTGCAGTCACGTTTCTACAATGCGGTTAAATTTGAGGGGAAAAAATACATTGCCTTTGTTCAGTGGTAACATACTTCTTGAATATCGCTGAGTTTTCTAATTAAATTTGAAACATAAATATCTCGCACAGATTATATTTTATGCAGAGTGAATATATTATTTATAAAGCTTTGAATCGAAAGTTTCTTAAATTCACATAAAATATTAAATAAACAATAAAACAAAAATTTTATATTTGGCCATTGTGCTGCACATGTTTGCTTGGAGGGCAATGTGTATTCAAAAGCTGGTGGCTGCAGGTGCTGCTATTTTCCCAGAGTGCAATTTGTGTATAAAATTAATATGTAAATTCATTTTCTTCATTATTTAATAATAGAGTTAAATGAGAATTGACAGAATGTGATATCAAGACATGAAGCAAGTATTTGGCTTAGCAGTATTGCGTCTCACTTGCTCAGTGCGGGATTGCTATAAAATTTTGATTTGGAAATAAAATATCTGTGAAACAGAATAAAGTGCAATGTATCTGTACTTTTACTGTAAGTATTTGTTTATATATAATAGAAGAATGTTGGGAATAGAAAAGGAGGTTGTTAAATTTAATGTGTTCCTTTAGTTAATGATTCTCTAGCCTGATTAACTTAATACTTAGTCTGATTAAGTTAATAGTAAGTTTACCATTAACTTAACATTTTAATGTTTTTTAATTAAATCTCTTTCTTCTGTTTACAGGGTAAGACTATTGATGCTGAACACCTCTCAGAATTAACAGAAGAGGAATATGAAGTGAACTTCATGAAAAGTAATCTTAAGGGTTTTGTTAAATTAGATGTCAAATATCTCATCCCCTTTTTTACTAGAAGGTTCACTCATCAAGTAAGTCACTGACTTTTGCTGTTGATATTTATTTACATTTCTTATGCCCAAGATATCTGTTTCATAACTGTTCTTATGTTTAGTATGTCCATACTAAAGTATTGATTTAGTAACAAGCAAAGAATGAAAGAAGTTAGTTGAATAAAACCTTTTTGTTTTGAAAGTAGAAACGTTAGATAATTCCACATAATCATCCATGGAACTGAAGGATTTACCATGCCAGGACGTGCAGTTTTTGTTTATCTTGATTATGCCCCTGTACTACATGTCCACTTAGATCTGCAGATACTGTTTTCTGGAGCTCTTTGCTTTCTCCTAAGCATTTTCCATCTGAAAGCTTCTTTAATTTTATTTATTTCCAATAATCATTACATTTATTTTTTAAACATTGACAAGGTATAGCCAGTTGAGGCATGAGTTGCATTCATTGTACCACTTTAGTGTGGTTAAAGCTGGTAAAATATTAAGTGCATCACAAAGGGTAGGCTGATATTATACACACAAGGAAGATGGAGGTGGACAACCAGAAATATCTGTGTCTTCTCCAAGATTTGTACTTGGCCTAATGATATGGCAGTTGTCTCCATCAACCTTTTAATAATTTGAAGAGGATGCTCATCCAGAGCAGGCATCATCTTCAAGGCTGAAATTTCCATGCTTAAACTTCTCAAAGTACTGTAGAACTTTGTTTTCAGAAACAGCACTTTTTCCATCAACAACACAAATTTTAGGATAGCCTGACTTGTATTTTTTCTTTTCTTTTTTAAAATAAAAGGGCATGATGTGACGAAAATAAACTTTTAGATTCTCTTTCTTAGCACTGCCCTGAAACAAAAATTATGCCATAGCACATGCTAGAACTATGCCATGTTAGCGGAAAAGAGTGCATTTAAACATCCATTTAAATCAAGATCACTCCGTATGAGCAGTAAGAAAATAATTAGAAAAAAATGCGCTTTGATTTGAAGAACCACATTTTTTGATAACCCAACAATTTTATTCTTTCGAAAAAAAGGGGGGGGGTTGTTTTCTAGGTATGCAACATAAATATGCATAAAATGCATAAGTGAGTTGTGCAGTAACACTTTATTATGATAGAAGTAGGAAGAATAATATTCTTTTGTTTTATTCATGAAATAAGCCCTCCCCCATAAAAAAAGGTCTCTCTGTAAATTTTAGTACTTAAATTTAAAATACTTAAATTTAAAATATGGCAAAAAGTTGAGGCATGAGTTGCATTCATTGTACCACTTTAGTGTGGTTAAAGCTGGTAAAATATTAAGGTTGTGTTGTTTTAAAAACAGACAAATAAAACCTGAAATTTGGCAATAATCCTTGTCAGCAAGATTGTTTATGGGCATTGAAACAAACCAACACATAAAGGAAATGAAATAACCATAGTTAAGTTTCTTTAGGCAACTTTAAAAGTTTTCTCCCAGGAGTCAGATTATGCAAATTTTCAATAATCATTTTAATCGCAAGTTCATGAAGTGTAAACAAAGAATGACTTTATCTGTAATTTTTACTTTGGATTACAATATTTTTTTAAAAAATTATTTTATTAGATATTGGGATAGAATGATTTTCAAAACTTTAGGCCTTAAATTTTTATATTAACTCCACTCTGTAATTCATCTGCTAGAAGGAAGGGGAAAAAGTCAACAGAACTATTTAATTAAATTCAGTAGTAATAGGCAGATCTGAATAATGGCTGGGAGAGGCAATCCAGCAGGGCATATAATCAAATGATAATATACTTAAATTTAAGTAATTTATAAATTAATTTACCTTGATGAAACATTAGAAGTTCACCAAAAGGGTACAATGTTTCTTTATGCTATGTATAAATTTTAACCTGATAAATTAATTAATTCTATTTTGAAATAAAAAGAATACCAAGATATAACCTAAAACACACAGTCCATTGCTTAGAAAGATCTTGTTGTTAACAGCGTATGATGACCGCACATTATGCTTTGAGATTAATGAGATTACTTACATTAAAGAAACTAATTAAATGACATAATTTAAAACTTGAATTCTACTTGTAGTAACTAATTACTTTAGCAGTTTGGATCTAAATTACTCAAACCAAAGAGAAATTCAGAATGGAAATTACTAAAATTAGGCTTAATTGTTTGTAAAATTGCTGAATTCATTAGAAGAAATAATAAATTCTTCTTTTGCATAAATCAGACTGTTTTTCACATTGTTTCCTAAGTAAATACACTCATCTGCAAAGTTAAGAGAATTTGCACATTATGTCGAATTTTTGAAAAACTAGTTGATAGATTTTAATGAAATTTGGAATGATTATACATTTATAATAGAGAAAGAAATTTACCATTCAAAGTCATTTTATGTATGCATGATTATCAGTAATACTCATAGTGCAGGGATGCTCAAAATCCACATTGTGATATCAAACTGAAAATGAGTCTAATATGGGATATAGTCTCCTCTCACAGCCACACAGGTCATGCAGCATAATGGCATACTGCACAGGAGGCAATTAATGCCACTCCTACAGTAAGGCAGTTTTTGCATCCAGGAGGGTTCTTGGAGGGGGAGAGGAAATCATGAGGTAAAATTACCTTCCCAAAAGCATTCAAAACATTTTTGTAAGACTATGGTCAGGAGATATGTCTAGACAATCCATGCAGTGAATATCCACACTTTACAGGTAATTGTTAACTTGCTGAGTCTTATCTGAATGAGCGTTGGTGTCCATTAACAAGAACCTAGAACCAACTGTGACTCTGAAAATTCAAACATAGGGCTCTAAGATCTATTTATACCTCATAGCAGTCAGGTAGCCTTTGTCAAACACACACACAGAAGAGTGTGGCCATTCACTGTAATGACTGCACCATTCACTGTAATGACTGCCCAAACCATTATAACTTCATTACTGTAATAATTCTTTTCTTGGGATGGTATCATATTGCAGTCTTTTTCCAAGTACAGGTATGCCGAGTATCAGTGTCCAGGCTGAATCTTGACCCTTCTGTATAAAACATGGTGTTCTGCTGAAGTGTGGTCCAAGGTGCATATTATCTACACTTTCTTGTGTGCTGCATTGAGAGGGACACAAACTGCGAGTCTTCAGACATACAGCCCTATATCAGAAAACTTTCAGGCAACTGTAGACTATGAAACTTGGGTCCCAGTGGCATCATACAGCTCATGTGACAGCTGTGATGCTATAGCAGTTCTGTATTGCAACACTGAAAGAGCCAAATAATAATCCCCATTCATTTTCGTGGATTGTGGTTGACCTTACCTAGCTCTTCTTGATATAAATTCAGTGTCCTGAAATTGTTTCCACAAATTTCAGACAACACTGACATTACATTGAGCTCTGTAGCCACCTGCTTTTGTGATTGACCTGCCTCTAATCTACTGACAATTCTTTATCTCATTCCATTATTCATATGTTTGTGGCTACTCTTGGAGAAGTACAAGTACACAAATTGGTGAAAATCCCTCTTATGCTAATATCCCCTCCATAATCACAGCTCTGCCGATATGCACATGTATGCTCACATATTTGACTCTAAATATTTGCATAATTCGTCAATGGCATAATTAGTACCTTTGGTTCAGTACTTTTTGCAAAAATAGGAATTTTTGCAATTTCTTTTAATTCTGCATATGGGTATAGTTCATCTATAACACTGAATTTTGGCAACTAGTCTCAGAAAACTGCCAAATATTAACTCCTGACAGTTATTAATTATAAGCATTGTAACAGATTTAAATAATATTAAAATCTTGTAGTTTAAATAACTTAAATAGATGAACATTAAGGTATTTGTGAATGGCAATATTTGAAACCAGACTCGAGTGCCACGTGCGACTCTCGCACGAAGAATGTAATTTAATTTTAAATGATAGAATATGTTTTCTCTCTTGTTTGTATGTCGCTATTTTTTTAGTGTTAAATAAAAGTTATTGCTGTGTTCCATCATTGGAGTTGCTTCATTTCGCCAAAGAAGCATCACAGTCCTAATTATTTTGGAGGCACCGACAGAGATCGAATAATCGTGCATATTTTTATTTTATTAGTTCATCACTGAACATAATATTAGTGATACCAGATTATTACTTTCTGTTAATATTGAATTGCTTTATGTTATTAGTTCATCACTGAACGCAATATTAGCGATATCAGATTATTACTTCCTGTTAATATTGAATTGCTTTATTTTATTAGTTCATCACTGAATGCAATATTAGCGATACCAGATTATTACTTTCTGTTAATATTGAATTGATTTATGTTATTAGTTCATCCTTGAACACAATATTAGCGATACCAGATTATTACTTCCTGTTAATATTGAATTGTCTTATTTTATTACCGTTTTGGATATTATTTTTAATATTCATTTTAGTTGTCCAGACAGTAGATATATATATTGCTCTATGTTGTTATTCTTATTTTAGTCACCATTAATGTGGTAGAGAGAATGAACTTCATATAATTTAAATATTTCATTTTTGAGGTATACGTATTTAACAGAGTGCATTTAATTTCGTGGATTTCTGACTGCATTAATTAGTTAAAGTAATTGAATTTGAGCTATTTTTGAGGAAGTATAAAGAAAACGGTGTTCGTTAATTTTAAACATAGAAAACAATGTTCTTACTTAGGAAGAGCTCGTAAGGAAGATTTGCAAAATCTCGCGGTTGAACTGGGAGTTCATGTGACTGCAGATTTGAAAATAGTTGATTTAAAACAGAAAATTGTTGAAAGTAGAGATTATGATGAAGTATTCGTCAAACGGAGTCAAACACAATAATACAAGAACGAAAAGAGCAGGAGGAAAGAGAAGAACGGAAAAAGAAGGGAGGAAAGGAAAAAAGAAGAACGTAGGAAGCCAGGAAGAAACAGAAAGAGAGGGAGGAAAGAAAGAACGGGAAAGAGAGGGAGGAAAGGGAAAAGAGAAGAATGTAGGAGACAGGAAGAAGCGGAAGAGCGAGAAGGAAAGAACAGTATGAATTAGAGAGATTAAGACTTGAAGCAGAGACAAAGTCTCAAAATACCGGACAGATCCGGCCGAAAACGGAGCTGCGTCACCTTATGCAGAAATTCGATGACAAGAAAGGAGATATCAGTCTATATTTGCTATTGTTTGAAAGGCAAGCAGAATGGGCTAAAATTGATAAAGAAGAATTTGTATCTCATTTACTAGGACTACTTCCTTATGAAGTAACCCAGTTAATAGCTAGAGAACCCTCCGATAAAGCTAAAGACTATGAACACGTGAAGAATTTATTGTTAAGACGGTTTAAACTAAGCCCGGAAAAGTTTAGGCAGAAATTTATGAAACATCAAAAGAGTACTGAATCCACATGGGTGGATTTCAATTATGAAAATAGAAAATTATTGCAAGGAATGGGTGACTGGTAGGAGTTAAGACTTTTGATCAGTTGCTAGATTTGATGGTGATTGACCAACTTAAGCGTCGAGTTTCCTCCTGAAATTCGAGATCATTTTCTTGATGAGTGGGTAGAGATGATTTCATCTAAAAGTTAGCTGAAAAACTTGATGCCTATGAAAACGTTTGCGGAAACTTTAAAAAAAAAGCCTGTAGTGGATAGGCAGAAAGAAAGATACAATGCACTAACTCAAGGTAAATTGAGTTCAGATAATAAAAATAAAACTGAAAACAAAATGTCATCAGGATTAATACGCAAAGCTTGTTTCATAGACCTAGAAGTCCACGTCCAGATGATAAATATGAAAAACGAAAGACGCCACAATGCTATCAGTGTGGGGTCTTATCAACATTTAAGGCCCCAATGTCCAAAACTTAAGAATAGTACTGAATCTCCTGCTAATCTTAACAGAATTAGTGCAAAACCAGAGGATAAATTTCTATTACCTTATACTAGTATGGGTTACGTAAATGGTCATAAATTCCTATATAAGGGATTCAGGTTTCTAGTATTGATATAGTTTGTCGCAAATACATTCACGGACGGAAAATGCTGACAGGTGAAAATGTATGGGTGCAACAGCCATTAGATTTGAAATCTAACCTATTTACCATTGTCTGAGGTCGAACTAAATTGCGATCTTCAGGCGAGTAATAACTAAGGGTTATCATTATTAGAAATGAACTTTGACAAAGGAAGGTATTTGTTAGGCAATCGAACTTCTGTGCAACTGTTGAAGGAAGACAAGGAAATGAATCTGAATAGTTGTCCTCATCAGGTTAATGCCTGTCTCTGCTAGAGCTCAAAGGGGAAAGAGAAATAGCTAAAAGCGCGGTGAAGAGAAGATCTTGGAACCGATGAAGGAAGAAAATAAAGCATCCAGAGATGTATCTGAAGAAGAAGTTAAATCACCAGAATTAAACGTGGAAGATGTTCACGAAAATTTGAAAAACGATAAAGAAATTAATATTGAGAATCATTTTGCAATGCAGCGTTATCATCGCGTTTCGGCTTTTGATTTAATATCAAAGCCGCTACTAATAGACGAAGAAAACAATTGTCGAAAGCAAATGACAGTTGAATATTATCCGAAAGGCACCGATGAACTGAGGAAAGGCTTTGCTGTGAATTATAGCCGAGGAACTGGTCCACTATGGAAGAGATCTAGGCGCCGTCAAGAAAAAAAAGGAAGACTAAATCATTCTCCATTTTTTCCTATTTAAATGTGGTGTAAAAGTATTTGTTGAAAACTTAAAATTTTGGTTTAAAGTTTAGAACTTATGGGAGAAATTACCTCTTCTTAAAATAATTCAGAATGCTGAGCTTATAAACCTTCGAATTTTACAGAACTTTTCCCTTTGGTAAAAGTCTCTCCGTTGGGGGAGAGGTTGTGACAGATTTAAATAATATTAAAATCTTGTAGTTTAAATAATTTAAATAGATGAACATTAAGGTATTTGTGAATGGCAATATTTGAAACCAGACTCGAGTGCCACGTGCGACTCTCGCACGAAGAATGTAATTTAATTTTAAATGATAGAATATGTTTTCTCTTCTTGTTTGTATGTCGCCATTTTTTTGAGTGTTAAATAAAAGTTATTGCTTGTGTTCCATCATTGGAGTTGCTTCATTTCGCCAAAGAAGCATCACAGCATTTAGTTTGCCTTTTATAAACTATTGTTTGCTTGTGGAAAGAAGTTTGAATAAAATTTGTTATTTGATTTTTATTTTAGCAATATCTACTGTTCTGGATTTAAAAACTGAACATTAAAGAAGCAGCAGCATTCTTTTAGCATAATGCGACAGTTATCATCAAACAGCATTACTCAGCAAATTTGTAATTTGCAGACTGCTTTTTATTCTGAGAAGTGAAGTTTCATGTAAAAGAGTAGTTCACTCAGGGAACATTTGATGTAGCAAATATAATTAGGAAATCAAAGACTATCTCAGCAGATGATTTATACAGATACATCAAATGCTATGTTAAGGTAAGAAAGGGAGAACGAGCTGGGACAATTTTCCTTTTCGCACTTGGGTAATGCTAACCATACCGTTACAGAGTGTCAAAACATTTGTTTCCTTGAAATTACACAAAACAATCTTAGCACTGTTTGTAGCTTAAATGGTTTAATATGGTTGCTAAATATAGGCATTCATGTTTGCTTATTTTTCTACTTGTTGTATCCCAGCGCAGTAAAATTGTAAGATAAGTATTATGTTTGTTTGGTTTTCGCCCCTTCTACACCACAAAGCAGTAACACTGGAAGACAAGAATTAATATTATGTTTTCTCCCACCTCTTTGGAGACCAGTAACATTGTGAAATATTACTTTTTTGGACTCTTTTTTGCCTTTAAATTCGATCAAGCTATCAACATCTAACAACAAAGCATGGAAAAAATAAAAAAAATAAATGTCCATGCCTCTTAAAGTTGTAAAATTTATTCACCAGTGAAGATATCTCATCTTTCTTTCTCAGTCCCATGAATAGATATCCTGTGAATAGTATATATGTGCTGGGTGTAGAAAGAATGCATGTGAAAGGAAATGTAGGTTTAAAGTTTTTATCTGAAATCTCTCTTCACTCCCTATTTTTTACGAATTTTAAACTTTTATGTTGCATTGTGTATAGAATTGTTTACATTATAAATTAAAAATGGAGAAAATTTTAGATGCTGCATTTAACAGTGTCTTATTATACATGGCAGATTTGCAACTATTTATATTTTGCACGTTGAAGATTAAGAAATTCAATTTTATTTAATGTCTCTAAATGAGTCGCTAAAATATTTAGATTTGACCAGAGCTGGCATCTAATATTAATTTCCTTAGATGTTGGATTAAGTATATTATAAACTTTTAGTTAAAATTTTAAATTATGAAAAATTATATTTTCTTAAATAGGAAAAATTAGAAATTTAACATAGTATTCCTCCTATTTGCTTGCCACACTTTTCAGAATTACTGTTTTATTGTAAACATGATTGTTTAAAATTCTTGTGAATGTCTTAAACAATACAAGTTCTTAATGTGTAGGATTAAAACTTAAAATTATTAGAAGAAAAGTTAAGCAATTTCATACTTTGTTAAGATAAACATAAGGAAATAAATTATGTAAGGGAAAGTTTTATTTTGAAAAATTGCAGAAAAGTGTTATTTTGAAAATGACCAAGTAATGACAATGAAAGTGTTATTGCGGAAATGTTATTTTTGAAATTTTATTGTTTCTGAAGTGTTATTCGAGAAATGACCATTTTCTCCTGTTGAGTAAAACACATATTTCTCAAGAATTTTTATGTGGAAATGAGTGTAGCAGGATTCTTTCTCACTTGAAAGATCTAGGAAAATATGAACTTTTCCAAAAAGGTCAAAGAACAAAACTCAAAACTTTCTCTTTAATTCTATTCATGTTAGAAACTTTATAAAAAGTGAACATTTGAATAATTGACTCAGGGAAGTAGTAAAAAGAAAGGAGGTACATATCAATCCTGTAAACAGTAAAAATTCAAAAGCTTATGTTAAATAGTACACAATAAGTATTAATGCTTATTTAATAGCTTATGTTAAATAGTACACAATAAGTACACAATAAGTAAATTAAGGGGAGGGGAAGAAATGAAGAGTTATTATACAGTTTTGTCATACCATATCTTTGTTATTTACTTGTTAATAAACTGTTTTATAGTGCAGTTAAAAGTTGTTACACTGCATGATTTTGTATATATTAGTTAACTGTATTAAATTCAACACATATCAATTGTAATTTTAAACTCCTCAGTTTCATTTTGAAACACCAAAAGGGTAATATGTATTTGGAATGATGCACTCTTATAAATTTCTTTTCCATAATGAGCTATTTTATTTCTGAAAAGCTAATATTTCTCTTTAAAAATGTTTCTTATTGATTTAGATGCATATTTCCCTTACATAATTATTTCATTAATTTTTTTATAATGTTCTTTGTAATTGCATAGTATTTTGTAGTAAATGTATAAAATTATTTACTCAACTGAATTCGATATCTGCATCTGTTTGTTCAATTGTTCTGTGGGAACCCTATATTGGTAATTCCTCTGCTCTGATGTTTTATGCTTAGCTATAGAATTATTTTTGTAGTTTTTTTAATGTGAAAAATTATTTAATTACTTTTGTGTGTTAAACAAGTCCTTACTGTTATAATAGGAAGTGAAAGACTGTAAAAGCCAAATGACGGATTTAACGAACCAGTGGTACCAAGCGATACGGGGACCTTCTGAAACAGATGAGGGTTCCGATGAAGAAGTTGAAATGTGATGCGACTGTTTTGTAGAAATTGTATTGTACATATTTATGTGATGATTATCAGTTATTTAAGAAATCAAGTGGTTCTATTTTGTGTATAATCGGAAACAATCTCGCATATAACATCATAAATTAAAAATTAAAAATCTTTTTGATTACTAGGAATGAACTTCAAGCATATATTTGTTTTAACTTCTATTTAGAATTCAGATGTATTTTTTTTTTTTTTTTAAATTCAAATAAGTATAACTTCTGCTAAAAGTGTAATAAAATCGTATCTGATATTGTTATTGCATTGAAATAGGAGGCTATTAATTGTCATCTGAAATTTTTAAGGTTATCTATTTGAGATGGTTTTATAATAGTGTGTTGTCATAAAGGTGCCAGCATTTCTGTGCAGGTTGGCCACTATTAAGAGAACTTTCATAAGGATGCCAGACACAAAGTAGCCAAACTTTTGTAAATTAGTTCAAATTTCAAAAAGGCAGCCTTTGTAAATGTGCAGACAATTTTATGAAGAGGCATCAAGCTTTGCAAGTAGTTTTAATGTGCTTACACATTGTGGTGGCTCTTTTTTTTGGGAGGGGGGCAGCAAGTTAGAAATTGGTCTTCATAAAAATGCAAAGCCTGCCATATTAAGTTTTTTTGCCTTTCTGACTTGCATAAAGATACTGGTACTATCTGTTTGTTATGAAATTGAATTCGTTTAATCCTTTGAGAGGCGGTATGTAAAATAATTTAAATTGTGGTAAAATTTTGCATGAATTGTAACTAATGGACCCTAAGAACACAAAATTGAGACTTGAAAAAAAAATCTAGAGCAAAATCCTGAATTTTGAGAGCCGGTATATATTTTATATCGGTGCTCCTCTAAGACATTTTGATTCCAGGTAGCTGCCAATTGTTAATTTTTGTTTTTAAAATTTTGTGTACTTCTGATATGCGTCTATAGAGATGGGTGCTTCAATATAGTTTTGTAAATCTGAAGACAAAAACATTCAAAATTTCATTAGACATTTAAAATTTTAAAAATAAAATCTATGTTTTTATGCACTTTGATGATGCAACCCAGCTGAACATACTTATGTAAAATATGGGTAAAAAGCTTTTGAAATTGATTTAATTCAGTATTATTATTTTATGGAAAAAATTAGCAAATATAACACTGCATGTGTAAACCATCTCATATTGTAATTGAACTAGTATACTCTTACAAGAAGATGCAATTCAGCTAGGGGGCGAATTGAAAAATGAAACACTACAACTCAGCTGAAAAAATATGTTGCAGTTTTGAAGTTATTACATTTTATGCTTTAGATAATATATAAAAAAGAGCATGCTTCGTGCTATGATACCAAGAATCGTCCCCCCACCCCCAACACACTTTCAATTATTGAGGTTTGTAAGAGCCCCTTTGTAATTTTTTGTAAATATAGGTTGTAATATATCATTTTGTTCAGGAAGAAATGACATTAAATGATTTCATTATTTCATACACCTCAAAGCTCTTATTTCGATTTTCAACCCCTTTGACCTCCTAGGGGCCCCTTTTCAACTTGTGGATAAATAGTGGCTTGTATTTAAAACTGGCCTTAGAAATATTTTCCTTCCTTTCACCAAGTGTGTAAATTTATTTCAAAATCCACCTATTTGTATCCTAATCAAGGGTAAAAATTTCTCTTGTGTTCTCTAGTATCTCATCTGAAATTAACAAAGATGATACCCTAAAGAATAAAAGCATGCTTTCAAATCAGCAGCTTTTACATTCCACTAAGACATGGACCTAAAGTGCATTTCTGTTTTCCTTATTTTTAAGTGAGCTTTCCCTTTGTGTGAAGTTATCACACCACTTTGTGAAGATGGCATGATCCCCGAATGACAAGTTAGCTGTCAATCACCTCTTTTCATTTTCACTGCGTTCTAGGATTTTGGAAAACATGAAGCAAAAGGTGTCTTTCCGGGCTGTCATGTCTAATTTAAACCCCTAAAATTGTGTAATGTTCAGATGACTATTTTGAACTCTTGTTTCTCCTGTGAAAGGGTGACGTGCTGAAATTAAAATTTTAGCTAAACAGAGACGAATGAGAAACTTAGTAAACAAAGAATAAAAAGAAACTAATATTCTTGTATTCAGTCCTAGCCACAGGGTTAGTAAACTCCCGATCCCCTCCGTGAAGATATGAATTGAATCCTAAACAGCTTGTAAATTAATTATAAAAAATTATTATGTCATAAACTATTATAATTTATAGAAATTCTGTCATCTCACAGAGCAATTATTGAGGTTGAAGTAGAAGCCTGGTGCTGTCATCTATTGACATATGTTGCTCTCAGTATGGGTGGCGGTATATATTTTATACCGGTCTCAGAATCGTATAAATAATCTTCTTTTAATGATCACTTCTGAATGAAAAGCAGTGAATATATAAGATTCAGCATGTGTATGTCCTATATTTGCAGATGTTGAGTTTTTTCATCCCCTTCAATAGAATTTATGAATCTTCAAACATACCTTGGAATGTGGTATATTAATTTCATAACTGCGAAATCTTGAGCTTTCTTAGGATATTGCTGCTATTTAGAATCAAAAGGAAGTACTAAAAACTTTCGGTTACAGATTTTGGTGTAGAAAAATGAGAATTTTTTTAGGAGGTTAAAAAATTGACAAACATCCAGTGTAATTTACATACCGGTGTCTTTTAAAGAGTTAAAATAAATACATTAGAAGAAATGGTAAAGTGATGCACAGTTTTAAAAAGTTTTTGTTCTAACTGCTTATTATGGAAAATATACAAATTAATAACATAGTTCTCGTGTTCTAAGGTACGTTATTTCTCATGTAAATGTCGCTGAAAATAGGCCTTAGAATATTTTCTTTCTTTCTTTCTTTTTTTTTTTTTTTTTTTTTTTAATGGAGCTGCAGACTGCAGTTTTTCTTTGAAGTGATTATTTTTAATTTATTTTTCAAATTAATAATAAACACTGCTTTTACAAGTAAATCAAATTTAATTTTAAAATTAGGTGAAAAAGCAAGATTTTCAGAGATTTTGAATAATATTCTGTTGATTTTGACTTACCGTCTTGAAGAAGCAGAGAATCTACCACAATTTCTTGATATCTGGACCTCCTCCAAAAAATCCAAATTAAAATAAGCAAGATGGAGGAAGACAGTTGCTTCCTTTGTCCTTAAAAGAAGAATGGAAAAGTATTTTCTGAACTCAAATGAAAAATTTGTAAGATTATATGCATACATAGTTAGTATACACAAATAATTTTTATAACTTGAAAATAAAAATATTTAGCATTTCAACAGTGCTGATTTTAATATCCAAATGTTTTTAATTACAAATAATTTGCATAATGAACACAAATCTAGAAGGGATGGCATTCCACTATGTTCAGCACTGTAATTTGCGATGCATTGCTGCATTATTTTGCTACTGAATCAGAATTACTATCTAAGGTAAATGAATGTACATTGAAAATAATATCAATTTAAAACGGAAATGTAGCCAGCGGAGAAAAGCATACATGATACAGAATTGTTTTGAAGGAGTAATGACCATTTTGATAAAAATACATCAAAGTATTTTATGAAAAAATAATGATATACATGAGAACAAAATTATTTTCACAGCAATTTTTATGCCTTTAAATGAGAGTTAGATTAATGAAAAATGCTCAGTTTACAAAACCTCCAGCAGCGCAGTTTTCTCTAATTTGTACTTTTTTTTTGGCTGATTCTGCTTTTATGTTCTGCTTTTGTATGAAAATTTAATGCTGCTAACTCATACTGAATTTTTTTAAACATTAAAATTTGGTTTGTTTACATCTAAAAATGAGCACAATTTACAGACATTTGTAGATTATCAGAATTTCATTTGACTTGAAGATTCTTCGAGTGTATAAAATTGAATCACCTCATATTTTCTTTTAAAATTTATTTCTTATTACTAAGAAACATTTTCCACTCATGTTCCTTGTTAAATGATGGTAGCTAAAAATGTGTTCATATTTTTAAAAGTTAAAATTTTATTTTTAAATACTTCATTTAATTTTACCATTTAAGATTCTCTTTTATGTTATTTATAGAAAAAAATTTTATTTTATCTTTTTTAATTAGATATTTAGTTTTTAAGCTGCTTTTATACAAAACACTTTATATATTGAAAAAATAAATTAAGTATATGATATTGGAATATTTGCCTTTTTGACTAGAGTAATGTGTTTCATGTTTGGATCATTTACACTGAGGCTGTTAATTGGATTGTTTTAATTAAATCTAGGCATATCTACCAAAAAGAACAAGAGCTTTTTGGAGGATTTTCTAAAGAAAACTGATTCATATTTACATTATGCACACCACAAAAATTCTTAGTCAAAGTATTAAGCCTCCAAGATGAATTTTTTCGTGGGGATTAAGCCATTTAGCCATTGTTATGCTTGAATATATTTATGAAACTCAGGGCTAACTACTACTGAATACTAATTGCTAAGTCTTAAGGGGAGTTAGAACCCCAAAATCTTCAAAAAATTGTGATTTTGGATTTTTGCATTTTCAAATTCTCTACACTTTTATCTTTCGAAAAATACCATTCTTTAATCTCTATGCAAATTAGAACTGTAAAAAAATCTAATTTTAATTTGTCATCTACTGCTTTGATCAATGAGGATTTTTACATAAAAACGCGTTTTTCTCCGAACGTGATTTTTTTATACTCGATATACCTTTTCTCAGGAACTACTGCTCACAGGTATCTAAACTTTTTATGGCTTATTTATTAGGTTCCCTAATATTTACTGAAATGAGCTTTTTGTAATAAACTTAGAAAAAAAAATTCTTAAAAATTTTTTTGTGTGAGAAAAGTGATAAATTTTACTATGCCTAACAAAATATCCTGTAATTTACTCTAAAATTCAAAATGTTTCAAAAGCTCATTTCAGTATAATCAAATAGGTATACTTTAATTACAGAAAAAATTTCAAGCTTGTATCTACAGTAGATTTTGAGAAAAGGTACATCGAAAATGGCCAATTTAACATTGTCGGTATAGGGGTTTCTGATACCCCTTAAGTTTAATTCCAAATATATGTCTTAATTCTAAATATAATTCAATATACTTCTTGGCAGTAATTTATAAGGCACAAAATAGCTACTTATTTTAAAATGATTATTTGTTATTATCACTACAACCCCAACAGATATGATCCAGCATTTGTGGATAGGAATAGAATACCACTTTGATATACACAACAGAACTGAAATTTGGTAATTATATGGTAAAAAAATTAAAATTTTTGTTTTTACACTGCAGTAACATTAACACTTCTATCGTTATCACATTTGGTAAGCTAACATGGGACATTTTACTTGAAATTTTTAATGCAAATAAATAATGCTAGTCATGAAGGTTAATGAAATGGAATCTTTTAAATGTTGATTTTCTTATCATGAATTTCTTTCTTTTTTTATAATTGTAGAAATATAAAATGTGTGATGTTTGAATGCACTTTCAGTTTTTGTAAATAAGTGACGCAATAGTATATGATATACATTTTGAATTCTCAAGCTTTTTCCTTCCCTAACAAATTAAAATAATTTTAATGTATAGTTATTATGATTATTAATATTACATTTATCTTATTTTTTATTTTTGCTTTAAACAAATGAGAAAATCTGTATCATAGCTTATATATAATTATAATATATATATATGCAGATTTCCTCATATGTATATTATGTAAAAAATGCAAATAATTTGATAAAAAGCAAATTTTGTAGGAAATTTTTTTCATGTTAATCGCAAAAACTAGTTAGGTACGTAGTGATGTTCAGTGCTTCAGAGTCACAGTCCTGCAGTTAAATTTGTGCATTATTTAAACACCCTCTGCTTTGAGAGATCACTAGTATGGTAAGCCATGACTAATTAATTAGAACTTTGGATGTGTAAAATTAAAACCTGTATTTATATTTCTTACATTTTCCGTGAAGGGTGACTCATGAACACAACTATTATTATTTGGAAGATGTTTTCATTCATTCTTAAGCTGTGGTTGTATCACCAATGGTTAAAAAGATTTTTCATCGTGTAGTCTGTTTAAAACACCCATATTTTATCCTCTGTTCATGAACAGTAGAGCTTGGTGTTCATCTATGTGATAGATATGCAAGAATTAAAAATTATTTGCAATTTATTGGGTAGACTATTTTGAGAATCAAATTTTCATCTTTGAAAGTTTTTGTGTTGTTTTTAATTTAGTGTTTTTTATAATTGTTAAGAATATATCTTTGTAAAGAGATGCAAGTTACTATGGTTATTAATATATATTTTTATTAACATGTTTTATATGTCAAATAGTTGTGAAAATATTTAATTTTACAAAATTTTAAATTATATGATTATTTTTAATATACTGATATTTGAAAATTATTACCTAATAATAAATGTAGAAAAGTTAAAAGGACATTTCTTCCACTGAACATCAATATTTTGCATTCTTTTAAGCTGTTATGAAGCATTAATTTTTAATAATTATTAGCTATGTTGTTTTATATGGAATTTTTTATAATATATTTGACTTTTCTTGCCTCTTATGAATAAAATTTATACTCTGTGTTTTTCATCTGTAAGAAAATTGTCAATGAATTGTTAATCTGTAAGAAAATTATCAATGATTTATAATTTTTTCATCATTAAAACCATATTTTATTTCCCAAGCTCTTTAAATTCATAAAATGTATTAAGCCTTCTAGTCATTTGACATGTTTAATTTATGTATGATTGACTACTGATAAATTGTTATGCACACAATGTATGCCAAAAAAAGGTTGTTTAAAAATATTCATACCTTTGAACCTGTGATTTCATTTATATTACTTCGTGCAAGAGGTATGTGATATTTTTAGAGCTGAAATAAAATGTTCTGATCTGGATTGTTATTTTGTTTAAAATAAAGATATTCTATCTCAGACTTATTTGCTTATATTTCTAGATTCTGTAGGCTATTTATGTATAAATGTGTGATTAATTTTATTATTTTCAGTGCCTCTAATGTAACTTAGAACCCTATATTAATAATATAAACAAAATACCCTATACTATAAAATGAAAAATAATTATATACCAGGGCTGTGGAGTTGGGCAGATTTTGGGATAAAAGGAGTCGGAGCTGGAGTCGCTTAAAAGGGTCGAATCCGACTCCAGTTTTTGTTGGACAGTTTGAATTTCAAATGAAATTAAAATGAATTGAAAAAAAAAAGCTAATGACAAGCTGAGTTATTATTTTTATTTATGAACTATATACATTAATAAATAGTTATTTTCTATTTTATTGCATATTAATAAATAAATATAAGGAAGGAGGATGGATATATTTGTCATTAGTAATTAAACTGATCCATTTTATTTACTTCATTTAGTTACAAATCTCACTGTTATATTTAGGTAAGCAGCAATAGCAGCAAGAACTCTCAAAATTGATGCCATTCTTAGGAAGCAAGCAGGAAAAGGAGCAATTATTGATCAACAACGCGATAAGTTACTTATCATGTACTTATTACTATATACTTTTAAATAAGTACATATTTCATGATGATAAAGAGGTTGTTAGAATTAAGAACTTTTTTTAGAAGATGTAGATAACCCTAATGTTTCACTAACAGAAAGACTGTGGAATGATCTTGCAGAATTGGAACTCTTCTTTCTACACTGTATATAGCCACAAAAATGCTGCAATCTGAAGAATTGACAGGAGGAGAGAATGGAAGAATGGGATGTTTGTTCTTTCTGAAATAGAGGGTTTATTCAAGAAGGAATCATTTCTTCAATAAAGAAAAGAGAAAATAGTTTGCAATACAATGAGATCTTGCTGGATTCAATATATATAGATTCGAAGCACCGCATTTTGTTGGATGATGAGCAAATTAAAAAGGCAAAGGAAGCCATCTATGAACTTTCATTAAGAATGAAATTATTCTCAGAACAATTGGAGAATTTGAATCAGGACAATCAAACTGCAGACATTGCAATTGAATCTCTATCATCTTCTTCCAAAGATGAATTAGATATTGAGAAATATTTTTGGATAATATTGAAAAGGCAAATGAAAATAAAGAACCAAGAGCCTTTAGATATAAAAATTTAAAAATACAAACAAGATTTCTACACGGCTTTGAAGAAATAGAGAAATATGATTGCACTTGCAAGACACCTCTTTTAGAACTTATAAAAATCTATCCTGAAAAGTTGAAAGAAGTAGCTCTGAAGACTCTTAGCAGCTCTGAAGTTTATCAAATCGGATCTATGGCCCTCCAACAAAGAAGGTCTTGTCGAAGCTATACTGTTTCTTAGAAATTACTAATGCCAGTTTTTCATTTCATAATAAATGCTAATTAATAGAAATAATTTGCACTGCCATCGATTTTTTGTAGCATCTATTACTTCTTTTATATTAAAAAAAATAAAGCTGTAACCTATGTGTATATGTTTACATATATATAGAGAGAGAGGGAGTCGAGTCAAATTCTTCAAAATTCCAGGAGTCAGAGTCGTAATCAGTCATTTTTCTTACCAACTCCACAACCGTGATATATACACTTACTACGCTTATGCAGATTACATTGTTACTAGTAATGCCTGTGCATAATTTAGAACTAAAAATGTTTATATTTAAGACTTACTAAGAACCTATAACTAGTAGAAAATGCAATGGAACTTGCTGATGAACAAAATGCAATGGAACTTGCTGATGAACTGCTGATGCTGTCTCTTTTATTAATTATGGTTCATATATATTATTTTATTCATAAGTTAAATCTGCTAATTTTTTAAAAATAAACTAAACCTTTTATTTTCTTAACCACTTGCGCTAAAAAGACATGCCACGCATGTCGAAATGCTTTTGTCTCAAACCGCAAGCGACGTGAACACCACGTCGATAGGCATTTATCACAAAAATGAAAATGTGGTTCACACGTCGCCTAACAATGAGATTGCTTATTTCTCGAGTTACAGCTGTGGATTGCACTCGCAGATGCAGAGCGGCGTAAATGAGACACTTTACCGCTCGTTATATTGTAGCACACCGCAACCATGAAGTTTAGTCGTAGCGCAATAGCATCATTTATAAGTTAGATGTGCTAATTTCTTAAAATAAGCTAAAACTTTTATTTTCTTAAGCATTGTGCCCTTGACTGCAGAATAAAATACTCTGTATTTATCCAGTGGAGGGGACAGGACTTGGTTTTAATCTCTATATTGTGCATTGTCTTAGATCAATCTCATTAGTTTATTTACCAAAATAATACAACACACCAAGTAACTTGACATGCATGGAAGTTTTTTTACTACCTTGTACGAAGCAAAGGAAGTATTGTAATCACGAACAATTCTAGGTACGATATTTGAACTAAAATATCCATTCTGATCGCTATTGAATGAAATTTAATGATGTTTTTGCATGACATCTGTACGTATGCATAGAATGTAGGTTCTTTTTCCGCTCAAAAATTATAAAACCGATTTTTATTTCCTTGTATGCAGTAAAGGAAGTATTGTAATCACGAAAAATTTCAGGTACCAAATTTCAATGAAAATATCCATTTTGACTGCTATCGAATGCAATTTAACAATGTTTT